TGCACCAAACATATCTACTCCAACAGAATCAAACATCAGCATAATCCTAGGAAAACAATCCCTGCAGCATTCATAACAAACAATATCAAACAATAAACCAATGTCTCAGGACTACAAATGCAATACACACTCACACACGCACACACACAACACTTCTAAAGTCTTATATTTTTCTATCTATCTTATATTTTATTATCTATCTATCTATCTATCTATCTATCTATCTATCTATCTATCTATCTATCTATCTATCTATCTATCTATCTATCTATCTATCTATCTATCTATCTATATTTCTATCGTTCTATCTTTATCTATCCGTCTGTCTGTCTGTCTGTCTGTCTGTCTGTCTGTCTGTCTGTCTGTCTGTCTGTCTGTCTGTCTGTCTATCTATCTATCTATCTATCTATCTACCTGTCTGTCACTTAATTCATGTGATCACGATAATAATATATGCAATACACGTATAGGGAGGGGTACCGAAACTCTGTACTTTATCGGTATCGGTGCTACATTATAAAAGAGCAAAGTATCGATAAGCTCTGACGTTAACAGTTCTGCTATAAGTACTGGAGAAATATTGCTTACTGCACATTACTTACAGTAGCATTTTAACTGACCAAACTTTTTTAATTTGCGATATTTGATATTTATCTGCAAAGCTGGCAATCTCACATGAGAAATGCTCATGTTTCTGGCGTAAGTGTAAATGCTCGCCTTTCTGGCATCAAGTATAAAAGTCTTTACAGTTCTCGACTGTGCGTGTGCACTCAGCAGAGACTCGCGCTAAGCGCATACACATGGCTCACGACACAGACTCGTGCTCACACAGCTCGTAAGCTTGGGGAGTGAATCAAATGGTTTGGGTTTCCCAAGTGGACAGCAACAATGCCCGTTGCTACAAACGCAACAAGTTGTTTACTTGTATGAGCGGAAATGCAAGCAATCTGGCTAAATAAAATATCTTTCAAAAGTGCATTGACTGTTTAGCTACTAATGGTAACTTAACATCATCCAAATCGTTATGCCAGCAGTGAATCACCTAAATTAGTACAACATTAATAGTTAAATAAACACACACATTCATTTACAATGAAAACAGTATTTCTTTTTTTAGGTATAGCCTAAATAAATCTTAAACATTAAAAATGCATTTACATCAGCTGTAAGACGGCCTACATCCTTAAAAACCTTGAGTTATTTTTTTAATCCAATGGTTGAGTTAAAAATATTTTATGCTTTGTTGGGTTAGTTTTAACCTTTATTTGGTTATTTAGTTAATAATTCAACCAGTTGGGTTAAAAAATATATATTTATCTATCTATCAACAGTCAACTGATTTAACTGACACAGAACATTTGTATTAATATATGTGTGTAATGGCGTTTTTTGCATTATAGTATGTATTTAAGCTAATAATATTGTTGTTTTTTTATCAAATTACCTCTCAGTGTCGTGTTTTTTCTATCCGTTTCACCTGCAATCTTAATTGTTGATGATACAAGCAAGCGATTCGTAGCCAATCTATTAAATGGATAATAACTTTGTGGCTGGAACTTAAAATGTAATGAAAATAAAGCATTTTTAATTTTTTTGACAACTGCATGTTATTTATTTACACAGCAATAATTATGATATTAATAGTAGTACTAGTAATAGTAGCAATAGTAATACCAGAATGGAAAAAAAATTAATCAAAATAACCCAATTTGTTGGGTTAAAATAACCCATAGTTGAGAAGGTGCTATATAGTTGGGTTATATGTTGGGGTATTTTTAACCCAACTATTCTAACTGGGTATGAATAGCCTAATAATAAACTATGGTAATTAGGAAATTATATTTTAAAAAAAAATACAGCTTATTTTTACATTGCAATATGCTCAAAAACTGTATTAAAAACACATGTAAACTCCCAAATCACAGTTAACTCATTTATGTGTAGGCGTTAATGAAAAATCATAAACATTAAACTGCATTTTGTAACTCAAAGAGGGTAGTTTTAACTGCAGGGAGCACAATAAACCAAGAAAGTTCTCGACTTCTGCCAGAAAAGTCCAACATGTGTCATTGTCCTTCAAACCATTGTACTTCTTTTGCTTTATTGTACATTAAAAACATAATAATAATAATAATAAAGTTGTAAATTCTAGCGGCTAGAGCTGAAAATAATCCCTAATGGTGGGAAAATGACAAAAGCTAATCAGAGTCAGAATATCTGTGAGGTTTTCATTTATTCATGGTGTTTTTAAGACTAGATGTTTGCACTTTGACAGTTTTTAATCTGAATTTGAATAAATTAGATCTGAAAAATATATTTTACCTATTTATTTTAATATTATTAAATACATAAATGATTTTAAAACATAGCTAATAAAAATAGCATTTTTCAAGAGAAATGTTGTCATATAAATATCGCTATCACCAGGGAATAACAATATATTGTTTGAGTATCGATATCGCAATGCATGTATCCGCAATAGTCCCCTCGCAGGATCAGATCATTAAGAAACATTAATATATAAAAGATATTATTTTTTCTGCAACTAAACAATCTATCATTTATAATAACGAAGGTCTAAGAAAACACACCAAAACCCATCAGTAAAATATTTTCACGTGTAAATATTAGACAGTGTTACAACATTCAAGTTGTAACACAAAACTGGAAAACACTTGAAATGGCAATTAATCATCAAGATGACACAATTTATCAAAAGGTTGCTTGACATTTGACCTGTGCATTTTTTCCCCCATACATAAACACAAGGAGCCTTTAAAAGCACACAGTTCCTTCTGATAACACTCCCACTTAAGCTCGACATGAGCGTATGTTTTTTTTTTTTGTCATGGAACTTTTATTCTTGCAAACAGCATTTTACAACAACTTACACACCATATACAATCATATCTAGCCCTAACAAAACTATCCTCAAAATAAAACAATCAACATCTGATGGAAAAAAGGAACAAGTAAAAAAAAAAACATACATGTATACACTAGGGCTGAATGATTGAAAAAAGTGCCCATGCTACTGTGACGGTTGGGTTTAGGGTAGGGGGAGGTGTGGGCAATCGTCAACTATGTAGTAGACCTTGTACTGCCCACTAAGGTAAGGTAGTGCCCATGCTACTGTGACGGTTGCGTTTAGGGTAGGGGGAGGTATGGGAGATCGTCAACTACGTAGTGTACCTTGTACTGCCCACTAAGGCAGTGGTTCTCAAAGTGGGAGTCGGGACCCCACGAGGGGTCGCGGGCCAATGAAGGGGGGTCGCCTGGTGATTTTTCAAAAATCTATTTATTTTTATTAAACCATAAGAATTAACATATTTTATCCATAACTATACTGAAAATAAAAATAGTCGTTTATAGTTACTATATACTATATAGTTACTATAGTAGCTTATAGTTACTAGTTCTATTGGATTGCGACCCCTGGGGTAATTACATTATATTAAAGGCAGCAATAGCATCAGATGTATTTTGATTTTATAACATCAGGTTATACTTTCTGGCACATTTAAAGCACTGACACAAATTTAATTGGTGTGTGTGTGTCATTGCATGCAAGGTTTCTGTATTTATAACCACCTCAGAGGATATTGGGGGTCGCGAGTCACTGGCATTGTTATTTTTGGGGTCGCGGGCTGAAAAGTTTGGGAACCCCTGCACTAAGGTAAGGTAGTGCCCATGCTACTGTGATGGTTGAGTTAAGGGTAGGGGGAGGTGTAGGCGATCGTCAACTACGAAGTGGACCTTGTACCGCCCACTAAGGTAAGGTAATGCCCATGCTACTGTGACCGTTGGGTTTAGGGTAGAGGGAGGTATAGGCGATCGTCAACTACGTAGTGTACCTTCCTTGTACTGGCCACTAAGGTAAAGTAGTGCCCATGCTACTGTGACGGTTGAGTTAAGGGTAGGGGGAGGTGTAGGCGATCGTCAACTACGAAGTGGACCTTGTACCACCCACTAAGGTAAGGTAATGCCCATGCTACTGTGACGGTTGGGTTTAGGGTAGGGGGAGGTGTAGGCGATCGTCAAGTATGTAGTGGACCTTGTACCGCCCCCTAAGGTAAGGTAGTGCCCATGCTACTGTGATGGTTGGGTTTAGGGTAGGGGAAGGTGTAGGCGATCATCCACTACGTAGTGGACCTGGTCAACTATGTCATCAAACTGCGGGCTGCAGCGAGGACTGTCTCATCCCTCGACACAGAAGTATAAATCAGCCTTAACAGTATTCAGCTACAGATATTGAATAATCACAATGAGACAATGTGTCTCATTTCTAGTCCAAATATCCAAAAATTCTTAGAGCAAGTCAAAATATAGTTTTATTTTTATCTTTCAGCAAATACGTCAAAATTAAAGTTTTTTCCTTCAAGCAAGCAACATTATCTATCCTGTTTTAACGTTGAAAAAGATATTTGATTATATTTATACTTTTTTTATTGGCATAAATCGTATAAATTCTATATAAACACAATAATTAAATACAACTCTGTAGCTCCTGGTCAATTACTGACCAGAAAACTAATTCAGACTTTTTAAATCGCTAAATAATGCAACAAATTGTTACCACATTTCAAAAACGTGTCCTCCCCTACTGCTGATATTGCATTTAATTTTCTCAAGTTTTAAAAAGAAGACCAAATCATTGAGTCACAATAAAATACAGGGGGGTTGTGGGAAAGTCCAAGACAACAGTGTTCTGTGCCTAGCGAGAAGAGATGCAAAAGCCACAATGTCAGCCGGTGTCCGGCTTAAAGGCTGACACTGAGGGGGAACACCAAAGACTGGTGATAAATTTGACCCCCAGAATATCAGAAAATATTTTAAAGAAACTAATCCAATAGTTTTGCAACTTGGGAGAAAATACAAACACATGACTAAGGGTTCATGGAGCAGTTTTTGTTTGTTTTTTTAAAGAATTTTAAGGCAAATTACAGTGTAAAAGAAGCCAGGAAAAGGCATGAGCGTATGTTAAGAAAACAAGAACTTACAGGGGCCTGCGGTTCCTCAAAGGTCACGATGTTTAGCGGCGTTTTGCTGCGCCCGAATTCCTGAGATTCCACTTTGATCAGTCTGTGTTTGGGAGAGACGATCTTCACCTCCACGCCGTTAGACAGCACTGTACTGAACGTCGGGAAGGTTTCTATAGAGCCAGAGCCGTTTACAACCCGGTGCTCAGAGGAGTCGTACGGGTCCTCGAAGTCCAGGTCTTTCTGAGTCCTGTAGGCCCGGAGGATCTCGCTTTCAGTGTAGTCCGGTTTGGGAGGCTGCGGTGGTCCTTTCCTGCTGCCAAAACTCAGGTGATCTCTAAACCACTTTGCCATGGGTCTACAGCCAACACAAGAAGAAAACATCCAAGCAAATGTAAATAAAACAAGCTTTGTGCTTCTAAAAAAAGGGACTTTATCCTAGCTCCTCCATTGAGTACAATCTGTAAATCCTGGAACACCTTACTAATAAGTGACTTATTACTCACTGTGAGTCAATAAACCACAAATATGATATTATGCAAGTGCTTACCTCAGTTTCCCCAATGCATTGATGCTTTAGAACATCCGGCTCCAATTTTTGTGCAATAAATTGATCTGGAAAGCAGGGAAATAACAAGTTAAAAAAGTAAAATACGTAAATAAAGTCAGATTTAGAGTGTTTTTAGACTGCTTCACTGTAAAAGATTTATTATGTGAAATGATTCTCTACTGTACTTCCTTTTTATGTCTTTCCAGAGACTTCTCTTCATCTTTGAAACACAAATATAGTTCTGATCCAAACTACTAAATTGTTTAGAAAAATAACAGGATTTTAACTCTTTCAATTATCAATCTTATCACTGATTTGGTGAAAAACACAAAATGATGTATTTTCAATATAAAAAGTAATCGAGGACGGGATTTTTTTTTTTAACTGTTCATCTTTGAAACTTAAATATAGACATTTCATTAATATAAATGAGAGAGATTTCAGTCCCTTTATGAAGTTTCTTCCCACAACATATTTATAAATGATTATTCGATCAGCTTAATGCACGTTTTTTTTCTGAAGAACTAATTAATCATCATTTTAATTTAGACACAAAAGCTCTAGCATGCTTGATTAACATGTGATAAGCAATGAGGTTTGATCTCAAATACCAAGCAAGCAGGTATGGATGAGCAAAGTTCATTGATCAATGTTTATATTCAAATAAAAGCCTGAATTAAATGCGTTCATCATGAAATGTGATCAAGCTTTTTCTTAAACAGCTTGGTTTGTTTAGTTTTGATCAAAAATACAAAATTGTTTAGAAAAATTACAGGATTTTAACTATTTAACTGCCAAGTTCACAAATAATATCACTGATTTGGTGGTTAAAAAAAAAACACAAAATGATGCATTTTCAATATAAAAAGTAATCGCGGACTGGATTTTTTTTAACTGTTCGTCTTTGAAACACAAATATAGATATTTTTATTACTATAAATGAGAGAGATTTTAGTCCCTTTATGAAGTTTCTTCCCACAAAAAATGATAAATGGTTATTCAATCAGTTTAACGCACGTTTTTTTTCTGAGGAACTAATATATCATCATTTTAATTTAGACACAAAAGCTTTAGCATGCTTGATTGACACGTGAAAAGCAATGAGGTTTGATCTCAAACACCAAGCAGGTATGGATAAGCAAAAGTTCATTGATCAATATTTATATTCAAATAAAAGCCTATTGAGCATTGAGATCAGCAGGACCAACATTGAGACCAGCAAAACCAGCATTGAGACCAGCAGGACGAACATTGAGACCAGCAAAACCAGCATTGAGACCAGCAGGACGAACATTGAGACCAGCAAAACCAGCATTGAGACCAGCAAAACCAGCATTGAGATCAGTAGGACCAACATGGAGACTAGCAAAACCAGCATTAAAACAAGCAAGACCAGCATACCAGCATCAACATACCTTACCAGCATATGCTGTTTTTTCAGCAGGGAGGGTAGTCAATTTGCCAGTGTATCATTGAGATTTAAATAAATAAATAAATAAATAAATAAATACATACATACATACATACATACATACATACATACATACATACATACATACATACATACATAAATAAATAAATAAAAGCATTTTATTTTTCAAAATATGTGTCAAAATAAGATTTGCTAGCTGAAACACAGAAAAAAAGTTATGGCCAAAATAAGACTTAAAATCACCCCATAGTGGATGAAAACATCCCCAACAGCATATAAAGGTTAAAGTTAAGTTTTCTCAAATAAATCTCTCAAAACTCTAAAGATACAACGAGTTACAGTAAAACAAACGTACAACAAAAGTGGGCTACATTTATAATGCTTAATATCATATTTAAACTTTAAAAAGTGGTTCTTTTACTTTCATTTAATATAAAAATAAAGAATATAAGAAAGTGAGTGTCATTAAGATTATCATCTTTACTTTCTGCCTAACAACTGCTTTATACTCCCCGAAGGAAAGTAAACAATACGGATTTAGGACAAAACCGGCGTGAATAAACAGTTGCACAATTTTAATATAAAGTGAGCTGTATAAGCATATGCATCCATTCCAGACATATATAGCCTACATATAACGTAATTAGATGATAATTTAATCATGACGGCAATTTTACTCAAAAAGAAAGTTTCAGACACAAAAGCCCTCACACAGCACAATCTTGCCAAAGAATCCTGTCAAAACAAGTACATGCATCAACTGCACACACCCACTTTCTTACTCTTGCCACATAATTCAGCACATAACACAAACACTTGTGATTTTTACTACCAAAAACGAAGAAATTTTATAAGGAAACTTACGTTAGCATGCTGGCTAACATTTCCAAACTCCGCCATTATAACCTTAATCACTTTCGTCGTCGACGAATTTGATAATACTCACTAATACCACTGTAGGCTGTAAATATGATTGAAATGCTGCACTAATATAACGCATTAAAGTAAAAAAACATCAATTTGAAGCTGCATTTTGTTAGCCGGCTTGCTGTTTGGCTAACGTTAACTGTGCAAGCGCGCGACCCAGATGAATACACACATACGAGCGTGTTTAAAACGCTCATATAATATGACAGTTTTGACTTATTAAAATAATTTAGTAACCACTAAAGCATTAGCATAACACTCACCTGTCAATAAAGGACGGTTGGAAGTGATAAAACAAAGCAGTTGTGAGAAAATTCCCAAAAAAAAAGTGAAGAGCGCGTGCATATGGATGGATGGAGAGTTGCATTGGATTGCATTGGTGGTGGTTGTTTCAGCAGCAGCAGCAGCAGCAGCAGCAGCACATAAGCTCGACTTGTTTGGTTGAAGCCCACTGGAGAGTTGCATTGTCTTTGTTCTTGCTGAGGCATTTCATTTCACACAGAGGCTCGTGCTTTGGCATGCATTTTGCAAATTGTTGTATGCCTGCAACAAACAGTATGAAGTGCTATCATTAAAGTGCATGCTTTTTAGATTAAAAAGAGATTATGAGGAATAAACATGCATAAGCACAGGGGTTTCTGCTTAACTAAACAGACACTTAGATAAGATCTAGTTCGATGCATGCCCCATCTGTCACGTCAACCCTCATTAACACCTTTTCCATCAGCACACAGAGGTCAGCCTGTAAGGTTAGAAGGTCACAGGCACTTTGGGGATCAATATGAGGGATGGTAAACAATGGCTTGTCCAAACATTGGCTGTTGCATTGAAAACCGTGCAATTAGGGTATTTAAATGATGCCTGTGAAGTTAACAATTCACAAATTATGTGATAAACAATAGCTAACAGTTAGGTTTTGTTTGTTAAAATGATAGTTCACTCTGAAAATGAAAACTATGTACATTTATTCAGCCTTTACTTCTTCCAAGCTAGTTTTTTCGTGTACTTTTGAGAACAGAAGATATACAAAAATGCTGGAAACCTGTAACTATTGACTTAAAGAGTCAGAGTTACAGCATTTATTAATCTTTGTTAAAGGGACAGTTTACACACAAAAAATACAATTTCTGTATTAATTTACTCACCATTTACTTGCTCCAAAACATTTTTTGTTTATTTTTGTTTTTTTGAGCACAAAACATACATAAAAATTTTGAAAACCTGTAATCATTGACTTTCATAGTAGAATAAACAGATTATTGAAGTCAATGGTTACCGGTTTCTTACATTCTTCAGGATATCTTCATTCATGTTCAACAGAACACACACACAAAAAAAAAAAAAAAAAAGATTTGAAACAAGTTAAAAGCTACAGCATTTATTAATCGTTGTTAAAGGGAGTTCACTCAATCAAATAATGAAAACTCTGTTAATTTACGCACCCTTTACTTGCTCCAAACCAGATTTTTGTTCTTTTAAGCACAAAATATATACAGCAAATGTTGAAAACCTGTAACCACTGACTTCCATAGTAGAATAAACAAATACTACCGAAGTCAATGGTTACCAGTTTCCAACATTCTTTAGAATATCATCTTTTATGTTCAACAGAACAAAACACACCTCAAAAAGATTTGGAACAAGTAAAGAGTCAGTTCCAGCCTTTATTAATCTTTGTTAAAGGGATAGTTCACACACAAAAAAAAATACATTTGTTTTATTTACCCTTTACTTGTTCCAAACCTTTTTGTGTGTTCTGTTGAGCACAAAAGATTAGAAAAAATCTTGGAAACCTGTAACCATTGACTTGCGATATCGTTACTGATATTCTTTAGAAAATCTTCTTTTATGTTAAAAAAAAACAAAAAAAACACAAAGATTTGGAACAAGAGTAAGTTACAACATTTAATAATCTTTGCTTAAGTGATGATAATTCTGTTAACTTACTCACACTTGTTCCAAACCAGTTTTGTTTTTTGAGCAAAAAATATATACAGAAAATGTCGGAAACCTGTAACCACTGACTTCCATAGTAGAATAAACAAATACTATTGAAGTCAATCTCAAAGATTTGGAACAAGAGTCAGTTACGAAATGTGTTAATCTTTGCTAAAGGGATATCACACACACACTCACACTTTCACTCACTCACTCACACTCACTCACTCACTCACTCACTCACTCACTCACTCACTCACTCACTCACTCACTCACCCTTTACTTGCTCCAAACCCTTTTGTTTTTTTGTGCACAAAAGATATATAGATAATGTTTAAAACCTGTAACCATTTACTTCCGTATTAGAATAAATAGATATTATTGAAGTTACCGGTTCACACACACACAAAAAGAAAATTCTGTATTAATTTACTCAACTTTTACTTGCTCCAAACCAGATTTTTGTTCTTTTGAGCACAAAATCTTGAACAGAACAGAAAATGTTGAAAACCTGTAACCACCGACTTCCATAGATATTATTAGATATAGATATAAAATTATATATATAGATATAAAAATATATAGATATAGATATAAATATTATTGAAGTCAATGGTTACCGGTTTCTGACATTCTTCAGAATATCTAAGTAAAAGATGAGTAAATATCATTTTTGGGTGAACTAACCCATTTAATGTTGAATAAAAATACAGCATTGTGAGCTACACTCTTATTTATGTAAAATTAAGATTCATAAATAATCTTTAAATAATCAAATTTTTATTGAATTAAAAGTGGTTAAAAAATGTTTCTATGGTTATTATCAAAAAAATGTTCTAATTATTTTACAAAACCCCCATAAATAAGAAACAAAGCATATCCTTTGAAACAAAACATGACTTGCTATTTATTTGTTGGATGCTGGAGAGAAAAAAAAGAGGTCTTTTACAACACAGGATTAGAGATGATCACGCTAAATTAGATTTATTTCCTCTGTAACCCTCAAATGCATTTCCTCATATTGACTGAACTAACATGGAGGGAAAAATACTACATTATAGAGTGCATAATAGATTAGAAATGCATTATAGAGTACATTAGAGACACTGGCATGGAGCAGATCTAATAGACTGAATGAAAGCCAGCCAATGGATATGGCTTCTCGTAGACGATATGTCCCACAGCTAAAAAAAAAAAGTCATCACTGAATACTAAAAATCTATTGACCTGCACTCTCAATTATGCTTTTAAAGAGTCCAAGTTAAGGAAATTTCAAGTGTTTTGTGTCATTTATGGTGGTCTGAAAACAAGCATTTAATTCCAGTGATCTGAAATGCATTGTTTTTTGTGTCCTGGGCTAGTCTGAGCTGCTGTCGTCGCTGTCTGAATACGCCCCCAAGAGGCCGAGAGACGAACCGTTCTGACATGATACCGGCTGTATGTTTGAAGAAGCAGATGATGATGTTATGGAAGACTCGGGTTTGACAGCACCTGAATTAACAGAAAAGACAGAAAGTTCAGGTTAATAGACCACAAAATTCTAATCTGTTAAACAATGAGACTGTTATATAAATCTGTAAAAGGTTCCGATGTATAGTTGAAACCAGAAGTTTACATACACTGTAATAAAAGGCACATGACCATTTAAAAAGTCAGATGTAAATGTGACTAAACTTTTTCTCTTTTAGGTAAGTTCGGATTATCAAATGTGTTTCTGTTATGCTTAATAGCAGAATAATGAGAGAGATATTTTGAGAAATTGTTATAACTTTTCTTGAAAGTCAAGTTTACATACAATAAGATTAGTATGCCTCTGAGAAGGCTCAGATGATGGTGTCAAGGTTTTGGAAGTTTCTGATTGGCTAATTGACAACATTTGAGTTCATTGGAGGAACAACTGTAGGAAAACCTCAAACACACTGCTTCCTTGTGTGACAACATGGGAAAATCATCAAGCCAGAATCAACAAAAACTGCCAGATTACATTTTGCTGAAATATATTGGGGAAAAGACTAATTTTTGGAGACATGTCCTGTGGTCTGATGGAACTAAGATTGAACTGTTTGGCCTTAATAACCAGTGTTACATTTGGAAGACAAAGGGGAAAGCTTACAAGCCTAGGAACACCATCCCAACTGTGAAGTATGGGGGCGGCAGCATCATGTTGTGGGGCTGTTTTGCTGCAGGAGGGACTGGTTCACTTCACAGCATAGATGGCATCATGAAGAAAGAACATCATGTAGAAATACTGAAGCAACATCTCAAGATGATGGCCAGCAAATTAAAACTTGGCCACAAATGGATCTTCCAAACAGACCATGACCCTAAGCATACTGCCAAATTAGTTAAAATGTGCTTTAAAGACAACAGAGTGAATGTTTTAAAGTGGCCATCACAAAGCCCTGATCTCGATCCTATGGAAAATTTGTGGGCAGAGTTGAAAAAGCTTGTGCGAGCGAGACAAATCTGTCTCCGTTACACCAATTCTGTTAGGAGGAATGGGCCAAAATTCCTTCAAACTATTGTGAGGAGTTTAAGAAAGGATACCCAAAACATGATGATTTTGACCAAAGTTACACAGTTTAAAAGCAAAGCTAAAAAATACCAAGGAAATGTACGTAAATTTTTGACTGTCTAGAAATTAATAAAAAACTCTCAAACAAAAGAATCTCTCATTATTTTGGCATTTAGCAAATGTCAATCATTTAGGTAATCTTAACGGACCTAAAATAGTAAACATTTAGTATGATTTACCATCAGACATGTTTTACAAAATGGTTATGTTCCTTTTATTAAAGTGTCTGTAAACTTCTGGTTTCAACTGTATATACTAACATGAACATACAGTTAAAGTGAGAATTATTAGCCCCCCTATAGTTTTTTTTTTTTTTACTCAATTTCTCTTTTTTTTCAACACATTTATAAGCATAATAGTTTTAATAACTCATTTCTAATAACTGATTTATTTTATCTTCGTCATGATGACAGTAAATAATATTTTACGAGATATTGTTCAAGATACTGGTTTTCAGCTTAAAGTGACATTTAAAGGCTTTTTTAAACTGTAATATTATGCAAAAGGTACACAAATGGGAATCACACACAAATAGAAGAAAAACCGAATAAAAAGAGAGGAAAAAACAAACAAAAAACAACAAAGACAACAAAGACTTCGTACCTTGCTTAAATGATCTAAGATGATTTGGCAGATCCTGGATCTTTTAATCTTGATAACATTAGGCACGTTCAAATCAAGACTGAAAACACAGAACCTGTTTAACTGTGCCCTTACTGAATGAGCACTTTTCTACTTCCGACAGATCGCACAACTGTGTCTTTCTTGTCTTTTTCATTCTTTTATAACCTGTTTTAACACATTTTCATCTGTTTTTAATCATTTTTATTTATACTTGTCTTTTTATTCTTTTTTAATTAAAGC